TATAGACTATAGTTGATGCATTAATTAAGTTGACAGAAATTTTCAAAATAAAAAAGAATTAAGTTCTGTGATTTGGTAACTCAGACTTCATATAGAGCCACAATAAAGTTGTCTCCATGTGGCCTATAAGCATAAGTTGGAGCCGTGGAAGCAACCAGTAATGCTTGCATTAGAGTATGTTGTCTATATCACACTTTTAGATGTACGGTCCTTTCTTGGAACCCGCATAAATGCGGAATGCTTTGGGCACCGCAATGCCCTCTTTACATATAAAGCCATAGTAATGTTGAATAAGTTAAAACTTACACGTACCGGATCTTTATTATGTGATATTCACAATCTAAGTATGAAATGCAGACAATCTTGACATTACAATTCTATATACAGTTGCGTAAAATACTGATATTTGCAAAGTAATTCTTATATTTTGATTAACCTATGAAAACATTAAGACTTAAAAGAGTAGTGAGTTACTTCTACGATTCCATCTCCAGCACTAACCAATTCAGGAAGAAAATTAGGTAATTTATAAACTCAGAAAGTCGTAAGGGGACATAAAGAGGGTTATCCGTGACTAAGACGCATTTCTACAAGTTTCTTTTAGAAAAGCCCCTTCAAGGCTTTAAGGGAAACATCTTTTGGGTTTTTTTTTTTTTTGCTAATAACATCTTTTGGTTAACACTTAACAGATAGATATGTTTCTCATTAATTAATTAGATTCTCATTTTTCTTACAGAATGTAACAAAAGACAGTAAAAAAAAAAGAAATGTAATTATTTTTCGACTTATTATGCTTTTAGTAAGTTAAGTGTAATATATATAAACAAAAATCAGTCAAAAGACATAAGTTATAACTAATTATGGCTTAAGCTTATATGAACTTTTGATTTAACTAAGTCATTTACCATTTTGTATCAAATATTATCTTTTCGTAAGTTTAGAAATATCAAATTAAACATATCAATTATTTGATATGCATACATAACGGCTTATTTATAAAATCATACTCAACATTTAAAAGATTTTAGTCTTTGATTCTTATCAGCTACGTACAGTAGTTTAATAGAAGCTCTAAATAAACCGAGTATCTGAAGGTGTATGTGAAATTTTGCAAGAAATAGCTCATAAACTAATGTTAGTCGACATATAAAGAGGGAAATTTAGAGGGAAGAAGGGATTTAGAAAAAAAGTATGAAGTCAAAACCCGCGTAGATAATTTCATGGAAAAAGCAAGCAATTACGCGTCAATTATAACGTGCTGAACACAAGAATCCAATCAGAAGAAACAAACGGCCGCTGGCACACATTTTTAATTTGCTCTAATGTAAAAGTCTCAAGGCATGCAGGGGAGAAGGGGTTGGCCCCAAACTTAATTGTCATCCCCTCACCTAATGCCGCCATTTGCCGCCCTTTCCCATCCATACATCTTCCCATTCCCCTACCTATGCATCACCATGTCCCTTCACCATTTTCCCCTATTCCCTCTCCCCCACACACCTTAATTTTTTTTTTAATCATTTTGAATTAAGGGTGGACCATAAACAGTGATGTAGTCACGATTTGAAGATTATGTCGAATTTTAATTCTTTTAAGTTACTGGTTCCATTCTAAACTAATGATTTGAACTTAGTTCATGAATTTCTTAGGATAATTAACTACAAAGTTTGGACTTTCCATACTACCTATGCTCTAGCTCCACCCTTAACTATGTCGCTAATAAAATTAGATTATAGAGAGATGAGATTTGGTGCGACGAAATCCAATATTTTCTTATTTAACCATTCAATATATGAAATTCACTGTTTTGATTAATCTAAAATGATATATAATACTTGATTCATGACCAGAAGTTTCTCCAATTTCCTTATCTAAATATTGTTAGGGTGCTAACTTCAAACTTTCCTCCTGTTGGTATTGGAACATGGACGATATGCATTTTTTTCATTTTCAAAGCAATAGACTGCTATTTAGTCTGTTTGATACACGTGCGATACCATTTTCTTCTAAGTTCACTTATATGGGTGTTGGGCTGAACCTTTTTCCCTTGTCTTGAACAAATTAAAGTTTGCCTAGAAATACATCAAAGTTAAGTACAAGTTTAATTTTGCTGCGGACCACATTAAAAAAATTAAAAAAAAAAATAATAGTGGAGTAGTAAATAAAGTTTTGTCAAAGGTCGTGGCAACACCCCCACGCTACCCTTACTCCTAGTCATACGGCCCCCACCTCTACCCTTTATTGTTCGTCTCTTTTT